GCAATTCCGCAGCTTTTAGAAAGTAAACTATAGACTGTTGCCTTCAAGTGGAGTAAAATCTACGGCGGTTTCGTCAGTATTATCGATTGTTGTTGGCGCGAAGTTCCCGAGTATCGGGACAAGAAGGATCCGCGCGGACGTGTTAGCAAACTGTGCTTCAGAAGAAAACGATTTGGGTTATGGAGCTCTTCGTGCCAAGCTCTGGCTCTCGAGGGCTCGGATTGTCAGTAGAATGAGCAGTCGCGAACGAGCGCGTGAGTGATGGGTGAGCGAAAAGCTGCTCCGAATGAGCAGGCGGCCGGAGGGAAGAGGGGAGGGTAGGTGAAAGGGAGCGAGGTTCGCCAGTTCGCAAGCAATTATCGCGCGAATCGCGCCACTTGGCAGCACGTAGATTGCCCGACGTTAGCTATATCGATCTCATTTGGCTCATTTCGCGGTTCAACTTTGCGGCGCGATCGATGATAAGAGCCGCTAACCAAGGCCTCTATCTCCCTTTTCTATCTTCGTTACCTCTCTTTCCTCCATATTCATTTTTATAACGTTCCATGTGTTGTGCGTACCTTAATGAAGAATGATAAGATCGATTTTTAAACACGGAGTTGAGACCTTTTTCGAAATACGATTCATCTTTTTAAAATTAGCAAGCGAGAAAAAAATGGATTATACATGATAAATAAATGATGAGTCAGGAAGTTTCTCGATAATGAGCACAATTGAAATATATATAAACAGCTAATGAAAGTCAAGCGCGATAAATAATGCGAAAGTAATTGGTAAAAGAATATTATTATGCAAAAATATTTAAGAAAAAAAAAGGATTTCGAACATTTTAATTCAATTTTAAGACATCTCCAACAAAATCTTTTCTCGTGTTCATTCAAGCTTCTTAATAAGATAAAAATTCAAAAAACTCCAAAAAGTCAGACATATATTTTGCTTACATCAAGGACGAATAAAAAATTTTGTTTTTCCTTTTCTTATACTTTTAATTTGTGATTATTTTTTAACTGCTTTTTTTTATAAAACATTTTTATGCAATTTTACGCAATTTATCTATTTTTTATGCTAATATTATTATGATTGCTGTCATTGTTAAATCTGCTGTTGTGTTTTTCCGATTTTTGTGATGAATCACAATTTGATAATCACAATTTTTATTTTTTTTAACGAATTATATATTATTTTCTAATTATTTATATGAAATGTAGAATGAGCTAGCTCTTGTTGAAGAGAGACGAGAGAGATTTTAGAAGTCAAACTTTTTCTCACGCTATCATTATACTCGTTTAATTCGCCAATCACCGCGAGAACGTATACAAAGTAAGATGAATTAAGTCTGTTTCCGCCGCGGAACGTGCACCGCACGTCGGCGTTAATTTTCTTCAGTTTCGCAATTACACGCGGCATAATCACTCCTCCCTCTCCCCTTCGGCTCATCTCGGACATTCCGACAGTAACATCGCCGACCCTCACTCGCGCGATTATAATTAACCGATCGAATTGAAAGAGGGAAAGGCGTCTCACGCGACTCGTGTTTCAGCGTATATTCGAGTCCCGCATCCTAAAAACGTGGAACACGAGGCACGGTAGTTACCCTCTCGGTCTCTCGGCATAACAACGTCTACCGGGGGCCCGAGGTATCATAATATCCTGTATACGTACATATATAATGCGGTGGCAGACAGCAGTACAGGGACCTTCGCTTCGCGAACACGAGACTGCACACGTGCGTATGCGCACACTGTGCGTCAGTTGCGAATCTCTATACGGAAACTGACTGAAGTTTCAGCTCTTTAATACCCACATATGCTTTTTTTAATTTTAAAAGAGATTTTATCTATGCAAAATGATACTTAAATGTATAATGACATAAGAATAATGGACATTTGTCGGATATTAAATATCAAAATATTTCCACTATTTTTTTTACAATAAATACTAATCTGAAAAATGAACAGAGGAAAGATGTCAAATTATTCAAATAAAGAATATTAATTCTTTTAAATAATGAGATAATAAATGGCATTGTTCGAGAGATCAGGATCTTTGTGTCTAATAATTTTTTTTGTTGAATTGAAATTTTTTTAAGCGGACGATCCCATTATTTGAAAGTTATTCTTCTTCAGCTTAATACCTTGATTACTTATTAATTCTTTTATTTTCCAGCTTATATTATTATTTACTTAATTTTCTTTTGTAGTTACATTTTTTTTGCGGCACGACATGGAAAAATGTCAGAGAACGTTGACGAGCAAAAATCACGATGCCATGAATAATGCAAAGCTAATTCTGGAACGTTAAAGGACTATCGTGCGACGACTCGTGCAATTTGGGAAAAGCCCGGCTTCGTAAGTCTCAAAGTAGCGGCTTGCTTCCTGCCAAGTCGCTAAAAGCCTTGTAAATTATTGCCGAAAGTTTACAGCGTCCGCTGCAGGAGGCGCGCACGCGTCCCCTGCACCCCTAATTGTACTAATTATTATCCTGCCGCCGGATGACGAAGGGAGGTCGAAAAGTCGGGTTTCACGTGATGTCGTGGCTATGTTTTATGGTCGCCAACACGAAAAGCATCGCCCGTAAACGACCCAAGGAAGTACGAGGCGATGTGTGAGAATCTCTCAATTGAACCCGAAGTGACAAGTTATCAATGAACCGTCGTCCGGACATTCCTGCAGACAATTTAAATGTTCTATTCTCTATTCAGTGTAACAACTAATATAATAAATGAATTACATATAGATTTACGCGAGAGATATTTTGTTATCAGCAAAATAAGTAACTAAGACAACAATAAACGGATATGGGTATAATCATTAAATTTTTAAGTTTTGCGCGACGTGGAATAATT